GCAGGAGGGGGCAGTGCTGAGCTCCCAGGGGCCAATGACAGCACACAGGAATGGGAAGAGGTGAGGATGAGGCCCGAGGCCCAAGGCCCACTCCTGGTGCTTCATGCAGGGAGGGCAGGTACCAGGCCAGATCCTAATCTAACCTGTGGACTGGCCCTAATCCATTCATCTAGCCTACAGAGCCTAAAAGGTTGAGCCCACTGGCCTAGATGGACCTGCTCTGATCCCATAAAATGGCAGTTCTTACGCTCTTATTCCCCTTCAGCAAGCCAGAACTCAGCTGTCCCAAGTCAACCCTATAGGCCTGGAAGCAGATTCCTGTCCTGATGGAGGAGGTAGACATGCATGAAAGGGAAACGAGGCCTTGTGAACATGTGTAAAAGCCCCTGGCCCTTCCACCCCACGTCACTCACGTCATTGGCGACACCAGTGTGGACCAGATCCCGCAGGAACTTCATGACACTGCAGTTGGCGTCCCGGTGGTCAAGGCTGGTGGCAGCGATGGCCCACTGGAGGATGGGGATTATCACCTGGCTGCGCAGCAGGGTGACTGGGCTGCGCTGGATGAACCTGAGGGAGGAGAGGACAGATGCCCATGGAAGTCATAGCAAGCATGGGGGGTTGCAAAGGGAGCAGGCTGACTGGTTGACTGCCAGACCCTCCCTAGAGAAACCCCTCTCGACAAGGGGCCCCTGCAGGGCCTTGCTTCCTTGTACTCAGCTGCCATTTCCCTGCCCCAATACTCAACCCTCACTTCCCTGCAGGGCTGCCATCACAGTCAGCAAGAGCAAGCCCCCTTCCCACTGCCCTGCTGATTCACAGCCAAGCTGCAGCTCATGCTACTCTGCTCTCTCAGGGAGATAAAGTTACCCTCTGTGCAAACTGCCTCAGCTCCAGCCACTAGGAAAGCAGAATCCAGACCACCTCCCAAATCCCAAACCAGCTTGTGCCACAGCCAAAATGTCTACAGCAGGGGTGGTGAGCCCTCAGCCAGCATCAGGTCCAGCCCGTGGAGCCAGATAAATTACATCCACAATTTACAGCAGCTGCCTCCCTTCCACCCCCAAGAGTGAGCCTTTGATAAGCACAGGCCACAAAGGTGGTTTTCCTTTGCTGGTTACTGGCTCTGCTGGTGGAAAGGCTTGGCAGTTGCTATGGCACCCAGAGTTGATGGAGCCAGTGCTCTCACACAATTCAAATCCCATCAGAGTCATCATAGAGAAGTAGGGCTGGAAGGGACATCCAGAGGTCATAACTAGTTCAACCCCCTGCCTGAGGCAGGATTATCCCTATCCAAACCTTCCTATACACATCCATAATTTAAACTCTTCATAAGACTACTGTCACGCCTAACACAACACAAAGCAAAACACCTGAACCTGCCTAAGGGAAAGCAGGGGGACCACAGTGGCCAGCGTCCTGCTTCTATATAAGGTTGTCAATACACACGCAGGAGATCCCAGGTAGAAGCCATACCCCCTGCTACAGAGGAAGGCAACCCCCCCGCCCTCCATACCAATCTGACAATGGGGTAAAATCCCTTCCTGACCCCTAATATGGCCTCGGTCTGACCCTGAGCAGGGGGACAAGACCCTCGTCAGGAACTCCAGCTTTGGTCCTACTAGCTGGAGCACTGGCACACCCCATATTTATCCCTAGATGTTGACCTGGTGCCAGCGCAATGAATACCAGGTCCTTGCTACAATGATACCACCTGTGTTATATGGAAGCTGAAACCACAGCAGAGGAATTTCAGCAGTATTCCTGCGCATGGCGGGGGTTAGACTCGATCTTTCGAGGTCCCTTCCAGCTCTTAATTTCTATGGTTCTATGAATCTATGGGTCTGTGGGAAGCCAAAAGAGGGGACCCCCCCCTTACCTGGTTGCTAGCCGGAAGAGGTCGTCCACAGTGTCAGGATGGTTCTGGAGGCCATTGGGATGCTCGAGGAGCTGGAAGGTGGGTACACATAGCGCCTAGGAAGAGGGTTATGGGGAGCGGTTAGCAGTGAGCTACAATCGCAATTTAATTAACACTCCGTGATCTACAGCAACAACACAAGACACCATGTTAGTCGTGGTGGGGGCAGTTTGCAGGGAAGGAAAGATGGGAGAGAACAGGTAGAGAGAAAGAGAGAAAGACAGAGCTTACTCACTATGCTGGCCATGGGCTTACAGCTTACAGCAAGCCCAGTGACAGGCTGTTAAGGGGAGCCCAGGGAAGGGGTCACCCAAGTCTCAAGCATGGCTCTCCAAGTGGAAGCTGCACAGCTGATGCAGAAGCCCAGCAATTTAAGGCACACGCTAGTCAGACCTCCCTGCAGCCACACGTGCTCTGGACTTTGCTAAGCAAGCTCAAGCCACGTGATAAACAGCAGTTGTGCCCGACTGTCCCCGGTCTGCAGGTCCAACTCCCCATTTCAGACAGGCAAACCCATGTGTCACGGCTTCCCACAGGGCCTAGCTGCTTCCCTGCTTTGCTACAGGGCTCCGTTCCTCACACAGCTGCCACCATAGACCTGCCCAAAGTGAAACTATTGCACAGGGAGCCTGGACTAGCACCAGAGGGCTGGATTTCTGGCACAAATGCTTCTTTCAGGGCAGCAGCTCATAAGATCCAAGAAATACAACATTAATCTAGTAACGTGGCCTGCAGCGCTGGTGACTGCTTTCCCTGCTGACAACAGCACCCAATGTCACCCGCCCACCCATCCCCGGCCCCAGCAGCCCTCAGTCAACTCCTGAGGCAGCAAGCATTGCGCAGTCCTCAGTATGAGGTCCTGGAGGATGTGAAGCAGGACTTGACTGATTTCCTGCTCTGTGCCTCACTGTCACCCCAGGAGATCAGTGTGCCTGCGGAATCTCTTACTCAGAAAGACAGAGCACCCAAGAGCGGTGCACAGACCTCGTGTCAGCCTCTCCTCCTGCAGAGCTGACTCATGGTACCTGGAGTCAGACAGGAAGTGGCTGGTTGCACCACCTGTTGGTGATTCAGTGTTTGCTGCAATGATGCTTCTTGGCATTGCCAGGTAGAAACCAGAGAGGGGGAGACAGACCTTTAGCCAACACCCAAGCAGGAGCAGAGCCTGTGAGACCTGCACAACCATGTTCTGGACCCCCACCGCCCTCCATAGGGTGACTCGGGGCCAGTCTTCACCCCTGTGCACAGTGATGAGGGTGCCCAGCCCTGACGCCTGTACAGTGCTCTGATCATCTAACATGCCCTGTGGCAGCTCAGTGGCTTGCAGAGAGAGGCCAGGCCAGAACTCGGGTATTGGTGCCTCCATCAGGGAGAGCACATGGCATTCATATGCAGGGAGGAACAGCCCAGGCTCATTGCCTCCCCAGCACTGGCTACTCCAGTTTACGAGGTTCCCTGCCAGTTTTGCTGGCTGAGGAACACAAAGCCCTTCCCAGCAGGCTGCGACTCAGAACAGGAGGCCTGGCTTTCCCCATGACAGCCAGCACCACTTCAACATCACAAAGGAGTCTCAGGTAGGAGAGGGTTGGGTTCACTGCTCAATGTCTGGGCATTTTTATCTAGAGCAGCAAGCCCTGTCCTCGATGCTTCCACCGACAGTCCCGACACCAACCTGTATAAAACAAAATAGCTGTCGCCAAAGCTATATTTAGGCAGCTCCTAGCTCAGAGCATCAGGCACTGGTACCTTCCATTGCAGTTAGAAAGCAGCACCAATGGGATTACCATGGGCGAGCTCCATCAGAACAAGTCTCAAGGCCCTTGTCTGAACCAAGGGTGCAGCCACACTAAACGGTGGACTGGGGCATTCCCAAACGTAGACAGAGAAAACTGTCAGAGCAACAAAGAAGTTTAAGAGCCACTGGGAACCTAAATACCACTGTCTTTCATTGAGTTACAAGCCCAGGGGAGGAGAGGGGGGAAGGAGTTGGAAAATACAGCTAAGCAGGTAGCTGAAGAGCAGGTCCAGCTTATGACTAGACCTGGCCCGTGCATGTCCGTACAAAGCATGTACGTGTGTACGTATGTATGTGCACTGCCTCAGCAGGTTGAAGGAAGCCGAACAGCTCTGGGGGGCACCTACCTGCAGCATGTCCAGCAGCCCTTGCCGGCACCCTTCCTCCATTCCGTACTCATCTACCAGGATGCTGCCGAGGTACAGGAAGCAGGAGTGCTGGTGCGCCTGGTACACGCTCACCATCTGCCAAGGACATGGCATACTTAGAGTCAGAGTTACTTCCCCCAAGAGCACCCACATGCCCTAGCCTCAGTGCAGACAGCAACACAGTGGGGGCCTTTCCTGGTATGGGGGAGCCTGGCAGGGCCACCAAGCTGAAAGCAGGTTTCACCTGCTAGGATTAGGGCATTTCTGAGAAGCCAGAGGCTCCCTGATCATGAGATCCAAAGGCCCCCCACCTCCCCTGGGGACCCCCTGTGGGCCTCTGCTCTCTCCGTTACACTCTGGAGAGGGCACATGCCATGTGACAGCTAAGGCACTGCCCTGTGACCTTCCAAAACCCGCAGCCCACCTCCAGATCCCAGCATGGCCTGAACTCTCCCACCCCCACAGCTCACCTTCAACTCCCCAACCCCAACCCAGGCACAGCCCTAACTACCTCCCTCATGCCTCCTCAACAAGAGTGGGTGGAGCAGCCATGTGCTTTCTCTATAGCAAAGGAAGCAGCACATCTGTGCGCACAGAGGTCTGCACCGACGCTAATTAGCTCTGCCTCTGAGCAGAAAGCAGCAGGGTATCCAAGGCCACCTGGAGGCTTCTCTCCTGCTGGGGCTAGCACACAGGACAGCCTGGTGCCAGGAGCATTGGGAAGGGAGCCAAGACAGCTGCATTCCACCCTTGTGGCCCACCACTCTCCAGGTGAGGACCATAAATCTACAAGGTACCCTGGTGCTTCCTACTGCGGGGCCAGTGAAGCTGAATCTTATCAACTCCTATACCCTGAGCCAGAATTCCTCACACTGACTGGACTGGTGAAACTAGAACATGCCAGTCTGCTCCCAAACAGAGGCCTAACCCCAGTACTTTGGCAATGACAAACTCCCCAGCTTGTCTCATAGTTTCTTATAGTTTCATAGTTGGTCAGGTCGGAAGGGACCTGAGCAGATCACCAAGTCCAACCCCCTACCATGGCAGGAAAGAGTACTAGGGTCAAACAACCCCAGCAAGGTGATTGTCTAGCCTTGTCTTAAAGACCCCCAGGGTAGGAGCCAGCACCACTTCGCTTGGAAGTTGGTTCTACATCCTAGCCACCCTGACAGTGAGGTAGTGCCTCCTGATGTCTAGCCTGAATCTACCCTCTGCCAGCTTGTGACTGTTATTTCTAGTCACTCCTGGGAGTGCTTGGGGGAACAGGGACTCCCCCAGTGCCTGCTGGTCCCCTCTTACTAGTTTGTAACAGGCCACTAGATCCCCCTCAGCCTTCTCTTGTGGAGGCTGAACAGGTTCAGGTCCCGT